ATGATGCACAAGCTCGTTTGCGCGTTCTCGTGCAGGCTTGGTTTTTGCGTTTCCGTTGCCGTTTCTACGTTCACGGTTTTACGTGCAAAAAACGTAAATTTGCGAAAAATACTATTTCTATGGCTGTTTTTACGTTCATGCGGCTCCCTGCGACACCCAGGTTACATGATGAAAGTCGCGTTTAATGATCAGTCCTCCACCATCTCCAGCACCCGCAACACAATGTCCACCTCGCCATTGGCAAAGGGCGACGATGGCGAGTAACGAACGCTCGTTTTCTGCCCCTTCCAGGTTGCAAGGCTGCCACTGCCCAGACTCCGTAAGTCTGTATGCACTGTCCTTATGCACACAGGATGTATTTACGCTGTACTTACGTTGTATCTACGTATTCTTGCGCATTCTACGCGAAAAAACGTAAATACGAACAGTTTTTACGTAAAACCCAAGCCTGTTCTCTTGCATTTCATTCTGTAAGGACCGCTCCACATGGGCTGTTGGCACGTACCTATGGGGAACGCCTAGTCAACCAGCTCATCACAGAGGTTGTGACGGTCAGATATGGTCGACAGGGAGCTGTGCAGGCCACAGTCTGTGCGTACATCATCAAACGTCCTTCACCAGGGTGCGAGGGCTTCAAGGAAGCGGGCAGGATTTCTGCCAGGTTCAGACCTTCCCATTCACAACCTAACGGTCTAGGTAGTCCTAATTTATCCCTATATGCGGCGCTGAAAAAGGGTCGAACGGAACCCACGATTACAACTGGAAGGTGTGCCAGAAGCCAGAAACAATCGAAAACTGCCAGAAATATGGTGGAATCCCAGAGCATCTCACCGGTTGGTGTGTGCAGTGTGCCGGCGTACACCAAGCGGTCCTGGCACTGTTCTCGACGCTCAGACCGGGAACTCTTGATTCGTGAAAGGGCGCCTGGCGTCCTGGCCGTTCTGGCCGATCGTCCGCCGCCGTCCACCAATGCGACGGCTGCCTCGCGCCGAAACCTCGTTGACGTGTGCAGAGTGCGGTGACAAGGGACACACGCATAACCGTCGCTCGCCGCACCTCAAGGCGGAAGTGCTGTCAACTGCCACCCCCCCTGGCGATTGCCGGGTGCCCTTATGCGTCGACAGGAAGGGGGAGGCGCCGCACTGCAGAGCTGCGCCGCTCGTGAAAGTGGCGGCCATGGCCAGCGTTTTTCTCGCCGTTGGGCAACGCCCGTGAACGCAATGGTCATACGACATATTCCAAGCGCGCCGAATGACACAGCGGTGGCTCAACACTGCCTCGTCCTAGGAGTATCCTGCGCATGCAGACACAGCGGCCCTGTCCCTTTCGCGGCAGAGCCTGCGCATTGTTCTTGGGAGGAGCGCAGGCTGGGTGTCAGGAGGGCTCTAAGTTATCGATTCCTGCACAACAGGAACGGCATTCGGCACTTGGACAACCGCGGGCAAGCTGTCAGCATTCTACACTGGCTCTCTGGTTGGTACCTGAGGCCAAAGCCGCCGTGACTGCTGCTTCGATGCCACCGGCCGAAAACCTTGACGGCAACCCGTTCGTCACCTGCAGGCCCATCGACCTCAAGGCAGCAGTCATCGGAGGGAGTCATGTAAACCTCACAGCACTCACTTCCTTTTGCTGGTGTCCATCCGACACGCACCAGCTGGCGATATCCGAGGCGTTCGGTCCCCCAGGGTAGAAGAACTTCTTCCTCCGGCGTGTGGCACCTGGTTGCGCATTTTCGGGCGCAGTGCCCCCCTTGAGACTGCCGCAGACCAGCCGCCAATGGCAGCGCCTTGCGCTTGGATTCGCGCCTGATGCGCCGTGCCCACTTGGGCTCGATACCAAAAGGTCAAGGCATTCTCCTGCACAACCTCCGCTCCTCTTGGTCGCCAGAGCGGTGGAGGGTGAACAGAGAGTGACCAGGGCATACCAATGGTTCACGCGTTTTTCTCATCATATTGAATCGAACACGGCAGGTTGCGGGGATCACGTCATGTGGACGCCAACGGAACCGGGAGCTTTTGTCTCCTCCGTGCAAACGATACCAGGGTTGTGGATGTGTCTGCCCCACTGAAGTCTCCAATACTTGAGGGCGCGCTCGGACAAACGATTCAGGGTACAACTCGCAACTGTCCACACCACCAGACAGCTGTCCAGACAGTTGCAAGTCATTCACGGAATCCTAAATCCGACCACGCTTTCAAGGCTTCGTGATTTCAGCCGGGGAATCCCTCCGTCAGTCGGTTTCAATCTGAGCCGGAGACAGCTGCTGAAATTCAGTGAAGCTGTTGGCGATTCCGTCCAGAGCCACCAGTGGCGACCGGGCATTTTAAAGGTCCCTTTGCGACTGTGTTTAATATAGAAGGCTCCACAGTCCTGAACGAGTGTTTAGGGAGTATCGCGGAACCCTGCGGTCATTTGAGTAGTTTTCCGGGATGGGGGGGAAGACACTGGTGAGCTCTTTAGTTTGAGAAGGCTTAGAGCTCATGTGAGCATGGACACCAAGCTCAGAGCCCGATCTTCACAGCGTCAGTTCTTATTTTGATGCCCTCTCACTACTTGAAGCCAGAATGTGACCGAATGGCTGAATGAATGTGATGTGAATGCACATATGCCTTTGATGCGGCATCGCACTATTGGGAGAACTCCTGCATCACTGACAAATGTGCCAACTATTCAATGCGTTCCAACATTCCTTATGCGCTCAGAAAAGTTATACCTCGAACACTGATCATGCTGTTCAGTATTCCTCATTGAACTCAATGCTTAAACCAAGCTTTCACGGTTGTGCTGTATGACAGATAGAGGAAACGTGGCTTTGTCATCTGAGCGTTGAGACTCGCTTATTCAAGAGAGCCTTATCTCAATGGAGATTGCTTAATAAGTTAAGAGATCCGATCGGAGACGATTTTGCGCATGTGGGCAACATCCAAGATAGTACCGTGGTTTTCAAGTTTATCATTTATTCATCAAAGCATGTTATACAGTAGGCGAAAGCAGATAGAATTCCGAAACGAAACTATCAGATTCAAAGCCTCCCGTTGAGCGTCCTCCCCCGCAATCCCCGGGTCCAAAAATCGCTCCAGCCGTGGAATACAGCGGTTTCAAACGCAGGACATCAGCATAGTGAGGAGATGCAACATGTACGCCAATATTTTCATACTCAGTACCATGATCTATCGGTGCTCTTGAACCAAATGCAATAGCGCAAGGCGGTGGAGCATTGAAGTCAGCACCCAGCTGATTCTTTGTAGGCCAACCCTGAGATACCTGACATGCGATAATTGGACCAGATGCGTACAGGTTTGCATGGGCCAAGTGCCAATTCACAATTTCCGATGAATTGTTGTTAACATGGCCTTCATTGTTAACATGGCCTACAACATGTTGTAGGCCACCCGGCATATGCGCTGACGGAACCCGTGCCTGGCAATGCGTGGCAACAACAAGGACAGAATTTCCTATAGGCGCAAGTCTTGTGGGTGTCTACGCTGTGCTATCTCGCTCAGTGTTCTGTAATGGCAAGGCACCAGCTTACTAAAAAGGAAGGGAACTGCTGAGACACAGCCGTGTTTTGGTAGTATTCTGGCCATTGGTCAAATGGCTTTCAGGGAAGCCCGCCTGGTACTTACTAATACACGGTGTCTCAAGAAAGCCTGGGTGTCGGTGGAATGCTTGTGATTGCGCATTGAGACATGCGTGAAATACTACAGCATTTAAGTAGAGTTATTTAAATATTAGCTTAGGTAGCTCTACTTGGGGCTCTCAACTCAGTCTTGAATATTGGCTGAGCCTGCGCCATTGCCCATGCAGCAACGTTCGGGGAGCCTACGCATTGCCAACAGGCCCACTATTGATTGCAAAGCCCTTCTCTATCATTGATTAGTATAACATCTATGAACGCTCACGGCAGCACGCGTGCCACCAACGGCCAAGAATATTGTATCAGCACAGGTGTTGATACCACCACAAAATTTCCAGAGGACATCGGAAACTTGGCCAGGATGCCAGCAACTGAAACAAACAAACTTCCATTCAATAAGGTTTTTGCTTTGCACAGCAGGATAGGGTGTTGCGAATCCATATTTGAGGCTGGGTAATGTACTCGCAGCAATTGCTCTGATAGGCGTAGCCAAATCAAAGCGCAGCGGGCAAATCCTGCCAGTGGGACTCGCAGACACCTGTTCATGAAATTATCAGTGATCATACAGGTGCCCTAAGCTCTGTAGGCTGCAGACTCCGTGCGGCCGACATGCCGTATGGAACTTGCTTGTGAATACTCCGAGTATTGCCAGCCCAGATCAACGTCAAAAATGACCGCTTACTGGAGTACGTTAAACACAATCTCGTTGTGGCGACACACTGGTAAGGGAAGGCACCACTGTTTCAGTGTTACAGCAAGTTGCTTTTGTATCTGAAATTTAATTGTGCCACACGCACCACTGCTTGCTGTACATCCACCGTGTACGATCCATGGTGATTATCGATCGTCTCAACCCGTCAACTTGGATTCAGCGATGCTTTGCTTAGTCATGGCGCACATCATTCCGATGGAGAGCTATCAGAAAATTTTTGCAACGCAGGCTAATATTCCTGCCGGCTCCTGACGTCTGGACGTCCAGAGCCCACGAGCATTTTAGTGAACATTGCAAGACTCTTCTTGTGTTCCCCGCCATGGTAGATTCTCATTGTCGTCTTGTTCCCTATTTTCGACCGTGAAATTGGGCGCTACCAGCGTCCTAGAGTGACTTGCCTTGGACGCAGGTGGAACTTTGTGGTCTACGTGTTTGTGCGCAAACGCACAGCACGCCCTCGACTGTCCCAACCCTCCCTTGTATAGTTAAGCGCGTAATTGTGTAGTTCAACCACGCTTGCGTCCGCTGACTCATCAGGCCCCATTCGCAAAGGCAGCGCCTGCCAGAAACTCGATTGTGCTTGCACGCCCCGCGCGGTGTGGGCCAACCCCCCGCCTCTGACGGAGCCACGGGGCCTCGCCTCCAGCAGTCATGGACTCCACATCGTCCAGCGAGGAGGTGATCTTGATGGGATCCGCGCAAGAGCGTGCGAGACGTCGTGTTGGCGATCGTCCCGAATCGAATTGACATCCACTGCGCCCTCGCAGAGCCAGCAGATTCTTGACATTCAGGGGGCCAGCAGAGCGAAGACGCGCGAAGCTCTGCAGGAGGGCGAGAAGGTAGGCCGCAGGGATTCCTTCGCTTGGCGTCCTGAGTCGCACGGACCCTTGCCCGCCCTGACCTTTGGGATCGTGTGGGACTAAATTCTCTATAAGGCAAGCATGAACGAGGTCAAGACACATTCAGTAGGGGTGCGACCACCGGCCCGAATGATGTCGAATTCTCTGGCGAAACCTACCTATAGATCGGTCATAGTTGAGGACAAATGCGAGTTTGGGATTGCAACAGTTGACATCTTGGTCCTCCCGGTGTGAAATCCCATCTTCCAAGGCTGCGTCTGCTTAACCATCGCAGTGCTGCTCATGGTCTAGCCTCCTGCACACTACAGGAGCTGCAAGCCCTGGACAAATGTTTACTGAAGCTGAACCAGTGTCAGCCCGAGCACAGTGGATCAAGGGGCAGCCACGATGGGATCAATGGTGGGCCAGGAGACCAATGCACAAGCTCAGTTCACCCTCAACTTTCCTCAAAACAAAGTCGAAACACAAACGCACATCTTACACATTTTTGCACATGGGTTAAGTACAAGACCACATAAACTTGTGTTGTTTCCATTCCTTTTGCATACTTACAAGTGCACGCTGCCTCCACTTTCTGGTCACGTCTCCAAGAAGGTCACTGGTTCTGCTAATTGGGATGCTGCTGCACCCTCTTGAAATCTACATTGTCTGCCAAGCGATCGCACTTGTTGATGACGGATGAACTGGACAAGTTTGTTAAGATGCCCATTGACAAAATGTTTGTAACCTGAAACCATTGCACCCACCATTTTTGGTCAGGCAGAAGGCACATCATGGAATGTGTGGCCCCATCTCGATCAACTATCCATGGCATTGTTCAATCACACTGTAAAAAGGGTGCAGAATTCTCAAGTTCAGTTAGAATTGCAGGAAGGGGCACATAGGACATTGAGCAAGACAACGCCTCCTCAGGTGCCATTGAACCAGAGTCCAAATGCCGACGCTCAATGCAAACTTCTCCTTTCCACAGCAGGCCCAAACAAGGAGCAAGCCGACCGTCAGGACCATGCACTTCCTGTGTCTCGTTTGGTCTGTGGGCAGGGAAAACTGCAGAGGATGATGGCCTGGGCTGCTGGGGACAGCGCCCATGCAGCCATGAACGCCACATGTCCCTGTGAGAAAACTCTGGCCCTGAAGAACGTGGAGACAGAGGTTGGTTTGTAGTCAGAGGACACCCCTGACGCTGTGTGCTTTGTTGTGTCACTATGCATGGAGGGCACATTGTCCTCATTCGGTGGTGATTTCGAAGTTGGGGACACCCTTGAGGACTATCTGCCACCTAATTTAAAGGACTTGGCTTGCTGGATTTTGTGTGCGTGATTTTTTTTGGGTTGCAAAACTTGTTGCATTTAGTGCCGGCAATAAGCTCTGTACCTAAAGGTTCTGGGATTTTGAAATGTATGGCTTGCAACATTTCGACACAGGAGCACTCGCCCCAGGGTGTGCAGCCCATTTTGCACAAGGACACAGCCTCCATGGTGACTAAAGGCTTTGACCACGATGCAGAGGCCCTGAAGCTGCAGCTTCAGTGTGCTGCTCAGAGGGAGGCAGCCCTTCTTCTGTCTCAGGTGGGACAACCACCGATCTTATGACCAAGTTATCCATATGCAGCTGAATTTGTCATGATTCCAGCCCTGGCAGAGTCACATTGGTTTCTTGCCTGTTGTGCACATGGCTGCTCCCAACATGGAGAAGTGAAAAGATTCCGATTTACATGCACCAAACAAACATCCATAGGATTTGTCCAGTGGACTTTTGCCATATGTTTATTATTCCCAGGCCTTCAACTGAATATTATGCCTCAAGTGGTTCACCTTCCACCCCATCCCAACTCAAGGGGGTTCATGTGTTGGTCGCCTTCCTCTGCTCACTGCTCCAACAGTGGAGCTTGGAGTGAATGTCATAGGGGCAGCAGTACCGCATACCCCGATTCATGTCATAGTAGAAGCAGAACAATAGCTCACAAGATTCTTCAGATGAGAGTTCTGTTGTGGAGGAACATCATCGTTGTGATATCATTTGATGAGTATGCAAGGAATTGTGCAAATGTCAGATTGCCACTGTGAAATCCACTTTGCGACGCAGGTTTTATCAGGATGAGTACACCTTGGTTTGGGTTGTTGCAGTAGGGCTGGTTGTGAGGGTGAGATACCCAAATGTTTTCATGCCAGTCGTTTCTTATCTGTGTGGCAGCTGCAGGGTTTCCACCACATGTGATATGCAGTTCAGCTTGGGCACACAAATGCATCCCCTGCTGATTCTTTTCACCACAAGTCGAGTCTCAATGCTCCGTTTTTTGCAGTACCACATGATCTGCACATGTAATTGGGACTAGAATGGGCACCTTTCAATCTTTTGAGTTTTCATGGTCTTGACCTGAACACAAGCACGGATGGCACAGGACACATGCTCTAATGCAAAATCCTGCATTGCACTTCGATGACCTTTGCTGTAGCATGAATTTCAAATCACCCTTGTGTTGATATCTCATTTGCAGGCCATAGCTGAACGCAAGGCAAAACGTCTGAGTACAGAGCTTGACAACTTGAAAGGCGAAAAGACTGCAACAGCCGAGGTAAGGTCCCAGCGGATCGTAAATCACTACAAGAAGCAAACTCAGTCGCTTCAGTTGAATGGTGGTGGTCAAAGGCACCCTTCTGTGCTGTGCCTGTAGATTCTTGCAAAACAGCAGCACATGCTTGACTCAATGCAATTAGAGCTGGATGGAGCTCGTCTGCATGATCAAGATCAACTGGACCACATGCAGGAGATCATTTGCGGTCTGGAAGAGGACCTTGCAGCTGAAAGAAATCAGAAGAGTAACCTGGAGGTACTCAATGCATCAGTCACTATCTGGACCTTGCGAGAAACCATACATGATAGTGGCAAACTTTCATGTTCCTAGCCCTGCGCAGGACCACGCTCATTTCCAAGCCTTTCCATAGTTTTAGGCAAGACATGCGTAAATTATATGTATGTGTGTAAATAAGACCTAAGCAATGTGTGAAGTGCATTAACACGTGACAAGCATCGCCATTGCGTCGATGAGGCGATGATGATGCGCTGGAGCTAGGATGGAGCATCTTATCATGTGCTGGGTCCAAAGTGAGACGACTGAATGGTTGTAAGCCCCCTGCCATCCATAGACAGTGCGATTGTGTTGCAGGTTGAAAATCAAAAGCTTCAAGAGCAGCTCAAAATGGTCAATGGGAGAGCGGGCTCCTTTAAGATTGAGGTAGAAGAGGTTCAAGCGCAGCTGGAGAGCTGCAGATTCCACTGCAAGCAGAAGGAAAAGAAACTGACTGCGGCAATGCAGGAAGTCCAACAACTGCAGGACGACATGCAGGTATATGGGGTCGCGCTTGGGAGCTGGTTACCACTCTGGCCAGTTGCAAAGTCTGTTTTAGCGACATGGATATGGCCATCGTGGCATTTTCACCTCAGACAGATGGTCCTTTCCCAATATGAAAAGCGCTCCTGGACGTGGCATGCGCTTGTGCCACCATTTTCTCCTTCTCTTCCAATTGTTGGGGGAATAGAGGTTGAGTTTCTTTATCAGGGAAAGAATTTGGTCCTCTCCTGGTGTCCTCTATGACTTCCAGGTTTCCGTCTTACCAATAGATTGTACATTAGCAAGATGAGCACATCATGCCTCCAACTGTACAATAAATGCCGTAGAAAACAATATATCACGACGGTATGCGTGGCATGCACCCAGCATGACCAGCAATACGTACATTTCCCTTGTATGCCAAGCAATTACGACATTATATAAGTGAATTGCTAATGGTCAGTCAAGGCATTACTTCAATGCAGTTAAAGTGGAACATTTATTTCGGAATAAACTATACAGTTGGTGGTTTTAGCTTGTTGCCTATTCATGGTTTGTTGCCAGCTGATCGACGACAGATCTATGTGGATACTGAATCATACTTTTGGTAGGCATTGGGTTTGCAGTATGAGGAGGATTGGGGCTCCAGGGTGCAAGATGTGTCGGCACAGATGGACGCGATGAGAACGTTGCTTCTGTTGCTGTGTGACGATGTTTTGGAGGCGTCATGTCTTTCTGGCCTTGCCAACGTGCAGCAAACCTCCAGCAAAGACTGGAAACAGGTCATTCAGGAGCTAAAATCATCCGATCAGGTGGGCTGCATGGTCCTTAGTTCCAAATTTCTAGATAAGGGGTGCTCTTGATGCAGGCGATTGTGTCGGGTGTGGCGTGTGGTAAGAATCCGGGCCCATCAGGCATGGGCTGAACTGCCACATTCAAGTGAGATGCTGGAGTTGGTTTTGTGACGTTTTGATGGAAACACCTGCTTGAGAGCAAAGTGGAAATCCCTGTCCATGCATTGGCAAAAGGTCAACATTTTGTGCTTGTTTCTGTCTGTGTATCACCAGTGTTAGCATGCTGAAAATCGTGCATCATTGATGTAGGCAGTGCTTGAATGGTACCAACACTTGCAATACATAATAGATATAACAATCAACCTGATACCTGATGTGTAATGTATGATGCGAACCATCGTTAACAACTGACAATAATGAATCATTAGTGAATTATTAATTAATCATTAATTTGAAATAGTAAATAGCAATTGTAATGTGCAAAATTGAGTTTGCATCATTTTGACATATTCAAAGATGGCAATCTAATAAACCGCACTTTTGCCCCAGTTTCATCGCCAGTGGAAGTCACTCTCCTTGTACGGCTCAGGCTTCGTTTTTGGATGGGGCTGTACCCCAATCCATGGTGGTGTAGTTAGCTTAATCGAATGTTAATTCGATGATCGATAACTTTGCAAACAATATGCTTACATGGTCCAGGTGGGCAGCGATGATGCCCAATGCCTCGTGTCCCACTGCTGCGAGCAAACGCTTGCAATGGGAAGATCGATTGTTGAAGGCAAGAAGGAGTCTGTGCAACTTTGCAGTACAGTGGCATCATTGCAGAAGGACCTGGACGATTTCACAGAGGACAGGTCTCTGCGGTGTGAAGAAGCTGAGAGGAAGGCGTCACTATATGCGGTGCAGTTGGGTGACGCTGTCTTGGAACTGGAAAAAGCAAGAGGCGAGTGTGAAGCTAGAGGCCGTGAGCTGCAATGCAAGGCCACAGAGCTGGCCACATCCAATGAGCGAGTGAGAGAAATGGCAGCAGAATTCGATTCCCTGGACGCCCGAAATTCGTCCCTGGAGGGGAGCATTGCCGATTTGGAGCAGCTCCTGAGCAAAGAAAGGCAGGAGGCCAGAGAAACAGAGTGTCTCTTCAGTGAAGCGAAAGGCAAAATTGAGGCTCTGGAATCCAGGCTGGTGGCCCTGGAGCATGCCTTGGACTCCCAACAGCTGGAGGCCAAAACTGCGGCAGACTGTGTCCAGGCAAAAGATGACAGGATCAAGGAGATGCGAGCAGCTCTCACCCTACTCACAGAGGACCAGGGTCGTTTGGAGCTGGAGTTGAGGCGACAGCTTGATGCAACAAAGAGTGCTTTGGAACAAGCTGAGCATCGCCAGGTGCCTGCATGGTGGATGACTGTAGCCAGGAATCCTGGGGACCACCAAACAGGCCCATAATGTTTGATATTTGTCTCAAGCAGCAACTGTGTTCAACAGTTTCATGGTCATGCAATGCATGATGGGTATCTTGAAAGGTTTTCCACTGTCCATTGTTTGAATGTGAGCTTTTAGGGCAATTCGTACACATTGTTTAAACCGTTGGAGCCCCTTTTTCCATGCTTCTTGTCTCAAGAATCTGCGACCTAAATTCGGGTTGGAAATTGTGCAGCTCGTTTTCCGCACATTGGTGCAATGCAGGCAACCAAAAACAAAGCTGCAAACACCCCAGTGGCGGTATTATTGACAAAACGGGATCAGAATGCCCCACAAGCAGGCAGTGAATATGCATGGAAAAAGCGGTTGAAAACGCACAAATACATTGGTCGTTGGTGACTCAAGAACGATGGTAGCTGATTCAATGCAGTATCATTCACTATGTGCATACTGTTTCACTGTGGTGGACACATTGCAATCTTGAAATTCAATTTGGTGCATAGCATTTTGGTGTACAGCACTTGTTATGATAAGGCGGATCATCATCTCGGAAGAGAAACTGATGCCAGATGAATTTTGTTGCATTTTTTTGTCAATCACATGGAAGGCAGCCTTAAACAGCAAACGCCTGAGTAATAGTTTTTGATGCTACTGATGTGAATGCACAATGCTGGTGGCCAACAAGGTCACCAGGTAGGCCAAGCGATTCCTGTTTGTCCAACTTTTGGAAGCTGAAAGCTTTCCTTTGCACTTCCAAAATATGCCGACCATCAATTTGATGTAAGATATCTGCAGGCGTTCTTAGCGTTGACAGGAATCAACAAACCATGTTGGAGTCAAGTCTGTTGGTGATCTCATTTATTTTTCTATTGGCTGTGCACAGGAAAAGGATGCGCAGCAGCTTTGCAAGCTGTTCCAGGACTTGGAAAACTCCCAACACCGAATCGATGTGCTCAATACCAAAGCCAGTGAAGCAGAGAGGGTGCAAAGACAGAGCGAGGAAAAGGCGGAGAAGCTGCAGAATGTGCTTTGCATGCTTTGCAACCAGGTAGAACAGATAGGAGAGTCAGATGGGTGCATACACGTTCTAGCTTCCACATTCACAACGGTATGGCAATTGTTGTTTGTTGCTGATATTTATGGGGACAGCAAAGGAAGAAAAGAAAATGAAAGAAAAGATGTGTAAGGGAATCACAGCGTAGTGCCAAAGTTGCCTGGATGTTTATGAATGATCGCCCATCATCACGTCTGGACATGTCAAAGATGCGCATGGTCCCTTGCGGTGATACACATGTGCATGTGTGGATCCTGATATTTGATGTGTAGATCAAATGTGCAGGAGAGGACGCCATTGCAGCGCTCTCATCGAAGTCCAAGGAACAGTCTGCGATTTTCTCCATCGGCAGTTCAGACGATCATCTGTGCAGAATTCAGAAGGGTCTGATGGATATATCAGAAGGATCTCCCTTCCTGCTCATGGATGGTGACGGCAAAAGCTTTGTGGCTAGTCTGGTTGATGCCCTTCTTGCTCGAATCACAGTAACATGTACATATGCACAAGAGCAGACAAAAATAAAGGAAGTGGCAGCCCAAGAACTGAGCGCAGCATTGGCTGCTGCCGAAGATGTGACCGCCCTGCTGCAGACTGCCTTGGAAGTGAGCGACCCCATTATCTGCCGACGCAAGGTGAAAGATGGCGAGCCTAGAGTCGAGATTAGTAACAACCTTATCAGCAAGTTGAAGCCCATTCCTGAAGACCTGGAATTCTGCCCTGCGGATTTGGCCCACCTCAGTCTGCAGAGGGTGACCCACCTCACAGTGCACCATGTGAACGAACTGGTGCGGATGCTTGAGTGTGGGGAGACGGAGTTGGCATCAGCAAGGGACAGGGTCAAAACTTTAGAAGATTGCAACACAGCTGCAAGGCAGACGACGTTGACCTTGCAGGTGGAGCTTGGTGCTTCAAAGGCGAAGGTGGAGCAGACAGATGCCGAACTAGAGCACATGAAGAGCTCTTTCCAGAAGGAGAGGTCTGCTGTTCGGACTGATGTTACGAAAGTGCTAGCCACTGCAGACCATGCTCGCAAGCAAGCTGCGCTACAGGTACTGTACCACTCCAATTGTTTTTGGCAAGGCAATATCATGGTTTGACATGAATTGTGCGTAGCCTTTCATTTGCAAGGCGATTGTGGCCATGTTGTGGTGTGGCAGTGCACTGGTGCCTTTAGTTTCACAGATGGAATGCCTATGGGCCAGGTTAGCAAGGCGGCTGCAGAAGCGCAGGAGAATTGCAGGCAGATGGCAGCCATCTTTCACAAGGAGAGCGCCCAACAGAGAGAGAGACTGGACAGCATGGAAGAGACCAAGGCACATCTTGAGAATGAGATCCGTGGTTTGGAAGAGATGCTCTCACAAAGTGAGAATGACAGGGAACAGAAGGCCCAGCAGATCAAGAAACTGCGGTCAAGCCAGAAATCTAGAGTGGTGGAATTCGGGAGAATGCAGGTAAATTGTGAGTCAAGGATTGGGAAAGACAGTTGCTTCGAAAGAGTGCACATATCCCCATCCATGTCCTGTGTAATTTCATGCCAGAATTGGGCGCGAGAGCTTGACGTTTTTCTGGCCAGATGCTGGTTACTGATCTTGAAGGATGAGATCTGAAGTTGCTTACAAATGCAATGCTGGCCCAGGCATGCCTTCTATGGTCTGTCGCTTCTCAATCTCTGTGACGTGGTGCAGGTAAATGGAAATGTTTGGGAATTGTTGTCAAAATGTCGGGCATAGTTGCAGAATTCAAAGAGATGGGCAAAGAGATGTGGCATGATGTGCCATTGGTAGAAAATGTCCCAAAGGCGCAATTGCACAGATGAATCCTGCACTCAGGAGTACTTCATGGAGTATTAGCGATTAAGGAAATCAACATTAACTTTTAGAATTTGTGTGTAACATGGCACAGCCTGTTGCAGTATGTTTCAAAAGTAACATCACATTGGATGATCTGTGGCCTGGGAGAGAACCTTGCATTCTGGATAGAGCATGGTCAGGCAAAGAGTCCATAAACACTTGGGCAGTTGCTTACTTGTACCAAGTTGGTGTTGTACATACAGGCCATATGTTGTTCAGCATAGCGTAGAGGGGCAAGGGCCCTGAATATCCAGGTAGAGTGCTTTTAGTCCAGGGGAAACAACCACTAGCAACAGTGACAAGGATCTCAACTACGTGTTCGCCAGTGGAAAATCTGCAGCACTTTATCAGATGGTGCCTTATCCATGCACTCTTTTCAGCATTTCAATGCTGCTTGAAGTTTGACAGAAACTGCCTGAGTTGGCAGCTTCTTGCCAGTGAATATTTGTACACTGGTGCCTGGCCAGCTGAAACCCCTCCTGCTTTTAGGAAGAAATGGATCTTGTGAGGAAAGAGCGTGACAAGCTGATGCATGAGAACAACTCCTGGCAAAAGAAATGTAATAGATTTGGGGCCAGGGCCCACGAAGTCGAGTCGAAGCTGCGCGCAGCATCTTTAGCATGCTCCAGCAAGGAGAAACAAGCGATGCAACTCCAGGCCGATGTGGAGAGATTGCAAGCCTTGGCACAAAACTTGGGCAAGCCCAACACTGAGTGTGGAGCTGAGTCCCATCAGGTCCTAGAACGACTTCTGAAAGAGGTATGCTGATCATCAATTGGAGGCAGCTGTGAAACAGGTTCATGTCATACCACTTTTGTCTCTCCCAGGATGTCTGGAAGATCTAACAACATACGCAGAATGCACGGTGGATGGCACCACAATGAACGTATAGACCCAAAGTGGTGTATGCAAAGAGTCTCAGCAGCTGTGGTTGTCTCATCACAGCAGCTGAGTGCAGTTTGCTCTGGATTTCAATGTGACTGCTGTCAAGCACATGTGTCATACATCTTCACCCCTGTACTCTGTCTGTTGTCATTTGCTTTGGATCGCAGTGCCCCTGATGTTTCATGGAGTACTGTGCATTCTTCCTTGTTGACCTGAAACGCAGCTATCAAAGCCTGCTGTGTGATTTTGACTGGTGCAGTTTTCAATCTGATCATTTCTCTGCAGATATTTGAAGAAATCAGCGCATGCATACATCATATTCCCATTGTCAACTGCGTCATGTTACACATATTGTGGCCATAATTTGGGAGAATTCTACACTTTTGGTTTGCTGTTGTGTTGATTCATTGGACAGGCAGAAGCACGAAATGCAGGCATGCAAGACCAGGCTCAAATTTACATCAAAGAGAAAGCACAGGCTGATGAACAGATTCGGGACCTGAAGGGGAAAATGTCAGATTACAATCAAGAGAAGTGTGCGCTGATCATGAAGCTCTCCAATATGCAAGAGAGAGAGGGTGGCCTAAAACAACAGCTGGAGGACACTGGGACAGCTCTCATCGAAGTCAAAGACATTGCCAATTGTCTGTTTTCTGAACTCAAGATTTGCCAAGCCCGCTCCACCGAGTTGATGGAAGAGGTAAATACCCTCAAGGGTGAGTTAATGAAGAGGGCAGTAGAGCGCGAAACGCAGCAAAGTGGTGAGCCCTGTACCTGTGGATCTGTTGATGAGATCCGGGATCTTCAGAAACGCATTGAAGAGGCTACTGTTGGGAAGGTGGCAGCAGAGGCCGAACGCGATGCTCTAGCACAGCAGCTGCGCCAGATTCAGGAAGGTTCGGAACTGACCTTCCAGCTGAACTGCACCGATCGGGGGTCCAGCAAGGGCGGCGATGCAGGTAACACAGAATCCACAAGTTTGCTAAATTGAAACGACGTTCAGTTTCAATCAGTTTTTTTGGCAGCAAAGCAGGTTTGAGGTCTCAACAAGTCATCGCGCGGTGCTTAAGTCGCACACAATGAGGCTGAGGTAGAACAGGCGTCAACAACATTCAATAGTGAAGTGCATGCAAACCTGCGCCCACTTTCCAAGTACCAACAGTATTTTATCGATTTTAATTGCTAAGAGAGCATTTTCTGTCTAACAGAAAAGGAAATGCCCTGATCTTAATCCACGTGTTGGAGAACGGGTTGGAGAAATATCCACCAACAATTTGAGGGTTTTGCCGACTCAGTTTGATATTGTAGACCATGTTAGCGCATTTTGCGATATGGGCGACATTTAAGAGCCCAAATACACAGATAGCATTATGCATGAATACACTACACAGCTGTGACAAGGAGAGGAGAATTGCATGAAATTGAGATATGTTCGTGGAAAATCGTTGCTCCTCCTTGTCCCATCCACGGAGACAATGTTCCAGATGTCGACGATGGCACAGTTGTAGAATGCGGTGGTGCATTTTAGTGCTGGTGCGCTTGCGACGTGCGCAGAATGTCCCACATATGGACATTGCATCTACATACGCCTTCTGTCTCCACTGCAGAAATCAAGAGTTGCTGATGTAGCCTGAAATCGTGTCATGTCCAAGCACAACTGAACACAATGTGGGCAGTGCAATAATTGCCAATATGTATATTTTTTGAACTCCAATGTATTACATGTTGATCTAAGCAAGGAGCTCTCCCGTAAAACGTAAAGCACAATGGGGCTCTTTTCCAGCAGGAGCCGATGTAGGGTCCCAAACAATGAGATAGAAAGAAAGTATCAGTGTTCACTCAGCGTTCAGTATCCGTGCAGGGGACTCCTAATCATCAGAGAGAAAATGTCAGAAAGGAGAGAAAGAGTTCGCCAGGCCATGTCCCAAATATCCCAGAATGTATTGAAATACTCCCATGTATCCCATGTTTGTTGGCTTGTTTGACTTCGAGCATCGATCATATTCATGTCAATGCGAACAGAAATGCCTCTTAATGTTGAGTGCATGCCCGCTGAACAATCCTCAGAAATTTGGCCAAGAAAAATTGGCCATGCCCAAAAAGCCCAATAAGCCCAACTCCAACCACAGTGTCAATGTGTCAAGCAACGGATTTCACTGGTCAGTTGCTGCAGCAAAAGAGCAAAATCGCTATTTGTGATGATCATCGTTTTGCTTCACTGGATTGAGCCCACACGTCCCTTATGCTGTTTCTTCATCCATGTGCTCTCCTAGGAAGGAATCCAGAGCATGAAGCTGACACCACACCAAATTTGGCCATGTCTGGGAGAAGTTGCGCAACAAGTGGGTCTTGCAGAAGCATCGAGCAGCCCGGAACCCCCTGCGGTGGTGCCCTCCAGTCGCCCCCCCTCCTCCGCATGCTTGGCGCCGACATTCACAACTCAAATGCCCCCTCAACTGTGGATGCCTCTGTGTCGTGCCATCTCAGCGATGGGGGGGACAGCGCTGGCAGAGGAGGGGCAGCGAAGACGGCACTGACGCCGTTGCCAAGAACGATCGCCTGAGGGAAGTTCGCGCAGCTCTGGCAACACTGCTGGTGGAGAAACGGGCCCTGTCGCAAGAATTGAGGAGCGAGAGGGCGATGCAGGTGAGGTGATGGCGTGAGCGATGACGGTATGCATCTGAACGACGGAAATCATAGCTGTGCGGAAGTTCTGAGCTTTAGCTGCACTTTGCGCTGCATATTAGCCATTCACGAAGTTCGGACTCATTCTGCCGTTGGCAGTTTCGTGTATAGGTCCAAGTATTTGCTTAGATGCATTATTGATACGGCTCTGCATGTGTGTCTTTTGGGGGGCGCTTTTGCCATTGACGCCATATCAAAACTGCAAATGGGACCAGCCTGCCAGCTCTTATCCTGTGCGCCCCCGGCGTTTTGGTTCGTGGGTTTGCTTCACTGTAAACTCTCGCCATGCGAATGGTTGTGAGTCAACCTCAGTTTCACAGTTCTAACACGTGGGTAAACCACATTCAGGAGGCCCAGAAGAGGGAGTTGGCGACCATGCAATTGCAAGCCGAGCGGCAGCTGGAAACCCAAAAAGTTGCAGCCGCCTCTCAGATCCAACTTTGCAGTCGGGCTGTTGCCATGTTCGGCGACACGCTCGAGGACGAGATGACACGCACCATGAAAATATGGCATGACCAAGAGGCGCAATTGATGTCAGGAATACGTGCGCTGGAACAGCTCAACAGCGCTGTCGAGGGAGCAGCCCACCGATTATCGAAGAAAGCCAAAGGAAAATGTGCCAGTCCCCAAAATGCCAGAGCGCTAACTGGAGGTGCCAGCACTCCACGTCCAAATGCTGAAGCTCCAGGTGGGGTCGAACGAGACTCTGGATCTGCGCAGAGACATGAAGATCAATGTGCCACATGCACACGTGGTGTGCTGGAGTTGCAGACAGAACTGAAACACCTCCAGGCTCAGCTGGCGACAAGCCAAGCCAAGGTTGACGAGATGAAGCGCATGGCGAAGAACAACACGGACTCCTGCCAGGAGAGGGACAGTGAAATTGAGTCTCTGCGTGCTGAACTGGCGTCCAGCAATGACGATAGGACAAGGCTGGAAGAGCAACTCCAGCTGGAAGAACGCCGGAAAGAAGAGTTGGAGCGCGAACTCAGTGGCATCAAGTCTAGACTTGCCGTTGCGAATGAGACGGGCAGAGAGGCGCTGCATTCGAGCGCCTTGAAAGAAGAGGAGCTGCAGGCACTGCGTGGACAAATTCAAAAACTCAAAGACGCTTCTGACGATCGACAGACACTCGAGGACGAATTGACTCATCGTTGCTCCGAGTTGGAGAAGAAGGTCATGAAATCGCAAGCTTCCATGATAGTTATGAAAGGTAAAGAAGCTCAATATTCTGTTGCCCAGAAAGATAAGGACAGCCAAATAGAGCACTTGACACTTGGTCTGGCGCAGGCGTTGGAAAAACTCTCATTCTATCAGGACGAGTTTTCAGCGGAGTTGGCGAGGAAGGAGGATCGGGCGAAGGAGTGGGTCCGCAGAACCGATCTAGGAACAAAGCCACAGTCTTGCCCCACCACTCCGAGAAGCAGCCTGTCGTCGATTTCCAGTCTGCTGGATTCGTCCAGTGAGCCAGAGCAACAGCCGCAATACAAGCGGGCACCAAGGCATCCACGAATGCAGAAACCGCTATCGAATGCACATCGGCAGTCTGAACCAAAAGAGGTTGGCAGAACCTGCGAAAGGTGCGCTTCGCTGGCAGAGACCGCGAATCAAAGGGCAGCGGCGCTGGCTGAGGCTGAATCCAAAATATCAGCGTTGGAAATGGGGTGCGATTCACTGAGGAAGTCGCTGATGGAGACCGAGGCCGAAGCACATGAGTCCTCACTTGCGGCCCAAGAGATTGAAGCAAAAGCAATCCTCCTGTCTGAAAAGTTCAAGGAATTGCATGAAGTGTGCCCAACTTCCCCCCGCTCCCAGTCTAGTGCTAAATCCAAGGCTTTGCGAATCAGCAAGAAACAGCACACAGCAGTGGGCCACCATAATGGCCCTGTGCAGGATGCTTCTAGCAAGGCAGCGCCGTGCACAGTGGACCATCAGTGTGAGGCAGACACTTTCAAACGGGTGAATTCCGACACAAGAAGGCTGCAGGAGCTTCAGGAGCAGCTGCGCTGTTGTGAAGATGCCCTACAGGTGGCCACAGCGAAGAAGGTCGCAGCCGAGCAAGAGTGCCTTCGGCTGCAGCAAGATACCTCTACTGCCATCAAGACGCTTGCAAAACTGGACAAAGAAATAGCTTCCAAGCGGTCGCAGTGCTTGGAGGTGCAGCAGCGTGCAGAAACTGAGGGAAAATCAGCACAGAGTCCTACAACTCAATTTCCAGAGAGCAGCGGCAAGTCCACATCACAAGAACTCTGCGATGCGGGCGAAGCAGCTGTGGAAAGCGCAGCGTCGTTTCGCCCTGGTCAATTTACAGCAGGGCGATCACAAGCTTCAAGCCATGCAGCTCGTGGGAATGCCAACACATCGTTGGAAGTCTCCGACCAGGATGATGCCAGTGGCTCAAGTGCTGGGAACAGAGATTCACACGTCGATTACAGGGTCGCACCCAAGGTTGGATCGAAGGGCCCTCTGTCCCAGATCCAACACATAGTACTTTTGTGGAAAACCGCGTGTGACGCAAAGCAGAAAAAAATCGACGAAATGAGCGAACAGGTCGCCGCTGCACACAGAAACGCCGAGGCGAACGAAGAATCCAGAAGAGGCCTCCAAGAGCTGACCCAGAAGTCGAGAATACAAATTTCGTCTCTGGAAGAGGAGAACCGAAATGTGATCGCAAAGCATGCCTCCGATCTCAGGCAAAAGGATCTGCAAATTTCAAGGCTCGAGTCCCAACTGGGAATGGCCTTGGCAGATGCGGATGGCGTGAAAGAACAGCTGTCGTCTGCGCAGAGCATTCTGTCAAGGGCCAAGTTGCAACTAGTTTCTGTGGAAGAAAAAGAGAGAGTTGCGTCCCAGCAGTTGCTGAACTCCCAGGAGAAGTCCGGCTGGCTAGAAGAAGAGCTAGCGAAGGCCGTGAGGCAGAAGAACTCCGTGCAGGAAGATCTAAGCCGCTGTGAGGCTGCAGCTTCTGCCATGAAGGACCGGCTGAGGGCATTTGAGGAGCGGGAGGCGGTCGCGTCGGAATCTCTACAAGAAGCGAGATTAGCTCTTCAAACGTGGGTTCATCAGCTGCCATGAATCGCCCCCCCCACTCCGCCCCCCACCCCACCCCCCCACCCACCCCCACCCCACACACACACACACTGCACATGCATGACCTGCATGTGCTTCAACTATTTCATGTACTTTATTTACTGTATTTCAAATACTTCATGTATTTGAAGTACTTCACGCACTTCAAGCACTCATCGCGAGCACTTGAAGTATATGGTCAAAGTCCCCCCAGCCCAGCAATATGCTTTTCGACAAATTGCAATGGTGGAGTTTTCACATGAAGCAAGTGAGCGCGTTGAGGAAATGCCAAATTCATGCACCATTCCGTGGAAATCTATTGAGCGGATCACGGATCCTGATGCAACGCGATGATGCAATACAACACAATGGATGGCACTTGTACCAAGCTGGGAAACGTGTGCATTCTAGTTGACTGCTGTCAAAATTACATCCAAGAAAAAGGTGCATTTCAACTATGGTAAATATGCATTTGTGGCGTGGAATTCAGCGTGTACAGTACCCATGCTACCGCAGTATCTGCAACTGCAACATGTCCCTGTGCAGGCGCACAAGAGAGCTGGCTGCCGCCCACGATAAGAATGAAGTTATCAGGGGCACGCTTGAGCAGCTGCAGACCAAGCTGGAAGAACGTTCCGTTGAGGTCCAGGTGGTGTCTAGCGAGTCCAAACACTGGCGAGGATGCGCCCTCCAGCAGGTCAGAAGAAGGGCATTCATCATCGCCGCTCAGCTGACATCTTCAAGGTCTCCATGAAGTGTCAAATCACACGTGCTTAGAATTACGACAGCACACTGCTGTCCAATTCGTTCCCTCAGATCGCTCATACGTCTTTCATGTTGCCCTTTTGCGCCTCACCATTTCGGCGGCGTCGCCCGGCATTCACTCCTCGGCTTGTGGGTATCATCGCCAACCGTCCAAAGATGCGTTGAGGACCACTCTAGAACTGCGGAGTCCTCACCAGACCAGCATCGCGCGGTTTCCATCAACGAGGTGGCTGGCCCCTCACACCCCCACACCCCACACCCTCCCCACCCAACCCCATTGTGCCCGCTTTGGAACGGGAATCGCTGCTCGTTCACTTTCTTTACACTGCAGGTCGGCCAAGCCTTTCTCTCATGCTCACAGCAGCTGCTAGTTTCGTTCGCTCCATTTGCGGGCTCTCCATCGCTGCTTGAAACGCTGCATAGGTCCGCATCTCCGTCGGTCGGCGACACCACATTGCGCACAGAACATTCGATGCACGGTTGCAAGCGCCACGCTTTGTTCCACACATGGCTGCTTCTGATGTCGGCTTCTCGAAAACGCGCAGCTACGCCAGTGAGCACGCAGTGACCTCATTCTTCGCGCTTATACAACATAGTCGCAGTGGTTGCAGCGCAATTACGGAATATACGCAATTGCCGCAGTTAAGACCACAATACAGCCTACTGCGGCGATTGCGTTCCGTGTATTCTGCATGTAGTTGTCGTGATGCACAGACAGATTTTCCTCCCAACACAGGCAATTTAGGCAACCGCCCACCTGGCGGATGGTCCATCGAATGATTGGCTGACTCTACCTCACCCGGCAACTATACCACTTTGAGGATATGAAAGTGGTATAGTTGCCGGGTGAGGTAGTGTATGAGGTACATATGAAATTCACATGTATCGAGTAGCACCGAGGGTCGCCACAAAGGCCAAACACAAAGAAAGAAATTTGGCATTGGCGGGGTTGATCAAATCCATTGCTTATCAGGTGGGCCTCCTGGCCCGATTCAATTCATTTCCCAACAGACAACAGCAACAACACGGCATGATTCCATTGTGGTTCAAAGGAAAGTTTCCAAAGTTGCGTCAGAGGAACGTAGATAGGAAAACATGTGGAATAAAGTCGCATTTCTCATTCCTTTCCTTAAAGAAGTTTATTCTTTGAGATTTGGCGTCGACATTTTCCTTTGATCACAAAAAATTGACCCAGAACATCCTTGCCGCCAACAGGAGATGGAGGCTCAGAAGCTCACGAGTGACATGGATGCAATTTCGGCGAAGTGCCAAAGCATGGAGGACGCGATGGTCGCCAAGGCGTCGCAGTGCGCAGCCGCAGTCGAACAGGTACTCGCCTGCCAGGGTGGCCACACCTTCTTTGGACTGCTCTTGCGTGAATTCGCTTTCGCGGATCAAGAAACTGCCCTTGCGCGATAGACAAGAGCGTCATTCGTTGGGCTGTTGTCCCATTTGCGGGCGTGCCATCTCGTCGGAAGCAACAAGTCAATTGTCTACAGCCCGCAGCGATGGCGGGCGTTGCTGTCAATTCCACGCAGTTACCTAAGGTTACCTTCCACCTTCCACGCAGTTACCTCAAGGTTTGAGATAATGTTTTCAAACGCTTTGACACGGTTTCGCACGAATTCGATCCGCCATCGAGTCTTGCTGACTGCTGACAGTTGCATGTTAATAATGGGCCACACATTAAATGCACAAATTTTATGAAATCGTGCAATATCCACCACGTTTCTTGCATCGCTATATGCCATGTAGAAAAATTCTGGATGGCGCGTCGCCAGCGCTGACATGTTCCTGCATGTTCATGTAGTTGTGGAATTCGCAGTGGATGTATGCTGGATGGTGCTGAGTGCATGAAATTTGGACAGGGTCTGAGTTGATTCCTGTCAGTAATGCGGAATCTGCGAAGTAGTAGTGCGAAATTTAACCGAGGTTGCACACCCAGCGTTGCTTTACACTAGAAGCCTGGCATGGCTTTTGCTGCGCCAGCCCGCATTGCCAAATGCCGCTAATAACATGAATGATTCCAGTAATTGATTTTCTCTCTAAGAACGCAGGTGTGTATTCTCCAGGCGCAAAAAATTCAGGAGCACCTGAAGCTCAGCCAACAGACGCAATTTGCGCTGGCCACCAAGGTGTCACAACTCGGTGCTCAGCTCTCCAGTGCGCTTTCATCCCAGCGCCGCTGCGTCGCAGAAAAGGGCATTGTTGAGGCCGCATCTGCCACCCTTCAAGACAAGCTGGCCGCCTCCAATTCTCAAATCCAGGGGCTTCGGGGGCAACTGGAAAGGTGTAAAGGCACACATCGGATGTCCTTCCGTTGCTCTCGATGGAAAAAATGTCCATTATAGTCTTCGCTCACTTGAAAAGGCGCTGCATGAGATTACCAGAATGTGAGATAAAAATAGAAATGCGCCGAATTTTCGACACCAGGAATTTACAATAAATCGTGTGTTTGCACTGCGCTATGCGTCACAGCGGGCCATCAATGTGAATGCAACAGTGGAACTGTGGCTGTTTCCGTCACTGAGTAGATCTGTCGGCTGTCCAGACGCAGGGAACTGGCGGCCACGAGTTTTGGTCACAATCCTGAGCGTTTGCACAGCCACGCGCGACTTAGACACCACCCATTCTCTACTCACGTGCGTTTCGTATACACAAACTGGAAACAGACGAGTAGCAAAATGAAACATTCCGCCTCTTCCGCTATTGCGCACCGCATTTTGCCTCTGCGTTGTTATGGCAGGAAAGAAATGCACCTCCGGGAGCTGTACCACATGCTGGAGGCCTGGGAGGCCATGCGCCTTGGGAAGGACGCACAGATAGCAGCCCTCATGGAGAGGTGTCGACGAGTGGATCAGGAGAGGATGGCTTCGGATAGATTAGAGGGGGCGGGGTTTCACAGCAGCAGTCGGGCGGCGACCGGGTCTGCCGGCCCGTTCCTGCACTGCCGCGCTGGGTCGCCAACCAGCACCCAGTCATGACAGACCCTCCAAAGGCCGGAGTGGGTGCTTGCTTTGCAGATTTAGGTGTGCGGTAGGGGGAGGCGGACAGGGGCCATCACCACAGCCGTCCGCCTTGAAGGAAACGGCGTAGAAGATGGATGAAGACGACAATAGAGGGAAAGCACGGGCGCAGCCCGTGGTATCGAGACCTTTGTGGGGTAGAAATATGTACATAGTAAGATCGATTTATGTTTGAGTGACTGTTTGAAGGTGTTGACATGTGGTCGACAGCAGAAAGTCGGTGTAACCTGGGAGCGTGTCACTCAGATTGTAACTCAACTGCATGGCGCTGAGCTTTCAGCAAAGAGCACCGAACACTAGTTGGATGCCCATTGAACTCACTGCTGGGCATTGCTTCTGAACAAATGCAGTGCACTGGTATGCGCCGAGTATCTGCTGGTGTCCTCCTAAACATGGCTTACCACACTTTGCCCATCGTGCCGAATTATTGATGTCGCTGGACAGTGGATACCACGCGAAGGCAAGACACTTGATTTCAAGCCTTATTCGAGCTTTCTTCGGTGCTCGGTTCTATTCGCAAGGCGCACAAATTTTGTACAAACAAGTACCGAATTCTCAATTTTGCAGACGTCTTCTGGAAATGACGGTGAAAATTTAACACTGGCGATGACCAAGGTATACACCACACAGGCCTTTTTTGGGCTGAAGGCGTCTCAATTGTTACACCTATTGCTTGGCCATTTTGGTAACAGGATTCTGCCCGCGGCGACGTTGTGTTAGTGCGTCGATATATTTTGTCGCTGTTATGGTTCGTCAGGCAGTTTGCGTTGCCCACCTTGAGCTTTCATCACTCCGCACTTGGAGCAGCGTGAATCCGAAGCGTGCAAGGGTGGACAGTGAACGTCGGATGTCGTTGGGGCTGTCGGCGTTTGTGGAGGCTGACACGTGGCGACAGTTCCTGCACCACCCTTGGTGTCCACTGCTGTCTTTTTCTTGCCTCGCGCCAACGCGCGGCACCATACGAAATCACAGTGCGCGGCAGAACCCTGGCACTTGAGCCGATCTGTTTACTCAATGGACTCCGTCCGTGGTCCTGATTCTCTGCATGACAGCAACCTGGCTTGAACTCACTACGCATCCCAGCCTGCCGGAGTCGACTTACGCCCTCTTGCTCCCGCACATGGACACACAAGTTGGGGGCGGTGGCACACGTCAACGGGCTCGTTTTCTCATCAGATCAGAAGGGCGGCAGGAGGCCCAAACAGGGTCAACAGAAACAGCCGACAGGGCTCAACTCGCCGACGAACGAAAGGCCGCTTGAGTCGACGACCTTCCCCATGCAGAGTTGCCATGGGCAGAAATGTGTTGAAGTTCTCTCTGCAGCGATCTCCAATTACAGCAACAAGCGTATGCATCCAAACACCTTGCACACAACAAGGGAGCCAGATGCAATGGGCGTGAAGCGCACAAGCGTTCAAGTGCAGCCTCAAAAGCCTTGTGAGCGTCGTGGGTGTTTGCATCACATTCGATTCATGGGTTGCAGCCAAGCCATTTTGCATGATACCTACAATGTCACAATGGAAAGGCATCCATGTCGGCTGCCTGTTTCTGTCACCTGTCACCACATCAAAAAGATGTGTGCCTACTTCCAGACACTTGCACACTCCCTGGCCTGTCTACACCCAACTTCTGTTTTGAAGCTCATTCAGCTTTATGTGCCAAAACCAATTCAAGAATAAACAACCCAACTTCCTCGCCTACTGAACTGCAGACAACAGTCTTAGTAGATGATGTCAGCAATGGCCATCCTGTTCCCACCCCAAGAGCATGGCCATCGTTTGGCAGACTGTCCAGAAACCCAATCCCAGTTGCCCTCCAGCAGGACTCATGTGACATTGTGAGCAGCGCTATATATGCAGTGTCCCAACAGCGCAAGACAACTCACTCACCTTGAACAGGCCTCTGCCCTTCCCCATCTACAATGCGCCCACACGTTTCTCCCCCCATGTCCCCTTGGTCATGTTTGTTACGAAGCAAAGTGTGTGCTAATGTGCTGCAACATTGTGGGCACCGCTTCTCTGACCCTACCACAGTTAACTCTTCCACACTGCAGGTGCCTATGCACTGGGGACACACCGCTGCAAGTCCACTAACATTCTCTGATGGAAGTCATTTCGCCACCCACTTTGGTTCATGCTTGTAACCTGTGCAGATGTGCCCATGCCATGCCAACACAACAATAAGCTGACCATCACACATCTTTCAGCAAAAAATACGACACTTATTTCGTGCTTTGGGTTCTTGTACGTCACTGTGACCACTTCTCATGGCCCCTTAAGGCACCCTGCCACAAGGAGGGATTCCCAAACGTGCTGTGCAAACATGTACCCAGGAGCCTAGCCAACCAGCACACCAGACTTCCTTTTGAAAACCATGAGCGGCCAATCGATGGTGAGTTCGATCCAAAATCTCTCAATATGCGAGGGAGATGAACAGAGTTGGTCGGATCATCGCCGCCATCGATAGCCACACACACACACACACACATTGGCACAGGAGAGTGTATGCCATCACACGTCGCTCACCCACAGCTCAGCAGGCCACCCCCCCGCCATGCTCCGCCGCCTGCACCTCTGGCATGAACGCCACCTTCAACCCCCTGCCCGCCTTCCACCCCTCCACTTTTCCCACCTCCCCCTTCCCCCCCAACCCCAATCCCTCCCCCTCGTCCCCCTCCGTCCCATTCTCATGCAACCCTGCCCCGCCAACCACCTCTACTCCCCCAACCTTCCCACGCTCACACACCTGCCCAGCCTCCCCCCAATGCTGGGTGTCTGTCGTCCCCTTCCCCTCCTCTCCTCTTGTCTCATCTTCCTTATTTGCCCCACCCCATTGGCTCTCGCCATCCGTTTCTGGCCTGCCCCCACCCTCCCGTTCTCCACCGCAATCTGCTTCCTCGCCCCCTTTCGTCCCTTCTCCCCCTTCTGTCCCTTCTCTGCCTTCTGTCCCTTCTCTGCCTTCCGTCCCTTCTTCCCCTTCTGTCCCTTCTTCCCCTTCTGTCCCTTCTCCCCCTTCCGTCCCTTCACCGCCTTCCGTCCCTTCTCCGCCTTCCGTCCCTTCTCTGCCTTCCGTCCCTTCTCTGCCTTCTGTCCCTTCTCTGCCTTCTGTCCCCTCTCCCCCTACCGTCCCTTCTCCCCCTGCCGTCCCTTCTCCCCGTTCCATCCCCTCCCTATCCACCGCCTCCCGATCACACTCCCCCCCCTCGCTCTCCGCACCGCCGTCTCTCACACAGACATCGACGGCGTCCCCACCGGCGTCCTCATCCCGATCGACGGGCGCTACCTGCAGCCGCCGTGGTGTGTGGCCCGCCCAGGGGGCGCTCCATCGCCCACGACCATCATCTTCCTCCTGCCAGCTGCCCCCGGACGACCCTTCATCATCATCCGTCTCCGCGGACCAGGTCACCACCTCCGGCGGCATCCGGAAGGTCACCCGCTTGGTCGTCCGGTCCCCTCCGGGGGCCTCCCGATCGCCCTCCATGCGCACCGCCGAGGACGGCCGGCGGGCCGTCAGGACGCCCAGCAGGCCGCGCAGCGCGGAGGCCACCCGCCGGCCGTCGCCCGCCCCCGCCCGGTCCAGCGGCACCTTGAGGATGCCGCGGGGCCGCAACGACGGGGAAAGGGGATCCGACTCCGCTCTCCGCGGGCCCCTCCCCTGCCCTAAGGCGTCTTCGTCGTCGGACAGCGGCCCGGCGATCTGCGGTTCCGTCGGTTCCGTCCGCTCCGTCCGTCCGGGATCCTCCGCAACGCCGTCCGAGGACAGGAAAGGCGACGACATGTCGTCCAACGGCTCGCATCCCGTCGCCAAAGCGCCCCCGTGTGTAGCTCCCCGCTCGACGGATCCAGACAACGGATCTCTGTCCCGTGCGGCATCGCGCGGCGACGGTGGGTCGATCAGGCCGTCGATCAGGGCGTCGATGTCGTCTGGGATAGCGTCGCGACCCTGGGAGACCCCGCCGCTGACGCAGCAGCTGAGGTTCCCCATCGCGGGGGGCACCCACTCTTGATCTCCGGCCTCCGGGTTCGGTTGAAGCGCACAGGCGGGGAGCCCTCGGCGGTGGGCCTGTTCGGACCCAGCCGGCCTCCGCCGTCCGAGCGAGCGACCGAGGGGAGACCTGCAGGGGGGGTTGCGCGCCCGCGGGTGTGCGCCCCCCCAGTTCCTGCCAACCGGCCTCCCAAGGATGCCCAATGAGCCTCCCCTGCGCCTGGCGCCACGCGTAGGGCCACTGGATATTAACCGGACGAGCAGAATGACGTGAGCCGCGATTTCCCCTCATTGAAATCCGAGGCGCCTGCGGCAGGCTGGCGTGGGGAGGTTCAGCGCGGGTCCAGCCCACCTGTAGCTTTTCTACCCCCATACCAACACGGAAGAAAACTGCCCACCGGCCATGCATGTCCAGACGGATGCAATCCAAAAGGACATGGACAGAAACGCTGACAGAAACCGCAGCGATTCTCACAGATTCACCCAGATACCCAAGCCGCCCCAAGAATGAGCATGCTATGGGTGCATGACGCCAAAAGCCGAACGTTTGGGAGCGAAACCCGCTGGCTTTGAAGCCAAACTGGTCGGGCTACACGCCACAGCCTGTGTGCAAAGGCCACACACTTGAAGAATACCAGCAAGCGCTTAGAACTTCACAAACTGTTGTTCTTTCCGTTGCATCCCCTCCAAAAACGGGCAGCGTGACCTTGTGGCGCCGCACACGTCACGACGGCGACCCAAAATAGCCCCTTGAAACGTCGTACATGTCACCACATCCGATCCACTTTGTTCGTTAAAATGTCCTATCAGCTCTGGGAGCTCACATCACATTTCCTTCCAGCCCGTCCTATCCCCGAACGGGCGTCCCATATTTGTAAGCTATTACCAGCCGCTCACATAATCCTCATGCAAGGATTCCATCAACGCCACGCAACACACGGCCCAAGGTACAGAAAATTTGCCGCTTTAGCCCT